CCAACAATTTTTACCTATGAGCAAGTCTTCTAAATGTCAAAGAGAGCTTATGAATGCCATAGTAGGTAAAGAACATACATATTATCATAAGCTAATGACAGTAATAGTGCCCTCGACCAAAAGCAATGTGAAGACTTGAGTACTAAAAGACTGTCAGAAGAAGTTACAGGAAAAAAAAAAAACTGCCAGATTGGGGCTGGGGAGAAGGAATCTCAGTGGAATAAGTGCTTGCCTGGCAAACACAAGGACCTGAGTTCAATCCCCAGTTCTGGAAAAAAAAAAAAAAAAATTGCCAGAAGACATTAAGACATTCTTTTTTTGTCGCTGTTGACACAGGGACTTGCTTTGCAGTTTGGACTCTGCAGTGACCTTTCTGCCTCAGCCTCTCCAGAGCTGGGATTACAGGTGTGCCCTGGGCCAGCATGGTATGTGGTACTGGGACTGCACGCGGGACCTTGTGCTTGCCAGGCAGGTGCTTGAGACCACCAAGCTATCTCCCCAGGTAAAATTAGGACATGCTAATAAAATAAAAATTATTTTCATTAACATATTCCCAAACTTTAGTTGGACCTTGTTAAGGTGTTAATTTCTACAGAGATATAATTTCCCCTCCCCCTAGACATACACTTTCATTTCTGCAGATTTGATAACTCTCATCCTAATAAAAAAAAATTCAGGCTGAGGAACAAAATAAAACATTTCCACACAGCTCCTGCTGGTAAGCACAAGGCTTTGAGTTCAATTCCCAGTACCACAAAACCCCCCAAAATTCAGCAGATCCTCATTCTTCCCTTATTAGGACCTCAAAGTGGACAACTGTAAGAATTTCTGAGACATAATTCTAAGAGATTTAATGTAAATAATTTTATTGCTACAATTCTTTTTTTTTCGCAGCCATCTCAGCCCACCCTGGGGGGCAGGGCTGGCATGGCATGTGGTGCTGGGGATCAGTGGTGCCTGTGTTTGCCTAGGCATGCCTAAGCAGGCGGGTTAGACCACTGAGCTATCTCATCAGCTCTTCTACAATTAATTCTTACCATTAATATCTGATTTTTTTCTTACCTACCATGTACTAAGTATTCTGCCCAAGAGCTAGTTGTCTACACCTAGCTAACTACTGTCTGTAATCTAAACATAGCAATATTATTAGCCTTATGGATTTGACTTTTTTTGTATCATTTTCATGATCTTGATTCTTTAATTTTATGTATATCATGCATATATTTAAATATGTATATTTCCTATTTCCCACAAATAGGACTTTATCACTATTAAAGATCTGGATCTTAAAAGGACTCTTGCACTGGTGGTTCATATCCATCAGCTCGTTCAGCTTTAGCTCCAGCCTCATCTCCAGTAGCCTTTCCCGAGCTGCTACCTTCACCAGGAAGCTCCATGAGTTTTCCCAATTTAAATGTGGGTTCATTCAGCATTTTTACTTTTCTGACAAAGACATCAAGAAGAGGGTAGATAGGCTGGCAAGTCTTTTCTGTGTCTTTCCCAATGCTGTCTGGAATCAGTTTACTGACCACTTCCTTCAAGTCATTTGCCTGCACCTCTCGGGTCATAATTTCCATCATCTTCTGGATCTGGCAGACCTGCTGGGGCTAAGTGTAAGAGGTCTTCTGTATCTGATTGTTGTGTTTTTTAGTAAAGCCAACACAGAACAGTCAAAGCAGATAACCATCAATAGTCTTGATGTCAACATGAGCTTTGATCATGGTCTGCCATTTTTTGACCATGAACACATGTTGTCACGGGGGAGGTCCATGCCATGGGAAGTTAGGCAGGCAGTTTTTTCCCTGAACATCTTCAGTAATTAGCTTGAATTTTCTAAAGGCAACTTCATCATTCTGCAGGTCAGCAAGGCTCACTTCAAACACACGACCTTTGAGCCCATCAGATGCAATTTTGGTTCCTTGGGTTCTGGTGACGAGTGTTCTTCCAATATTTCTTATGTTGAACATGGCCGGGGCCTTCACATCATACCAGTCTTTTTTAGAAAATGGATCAACCACTTTCTTCTTGGCTCCTTTTTTGCTGCCTTTCGTTAGGTGCTTGTTCTTGCCTACTGCCATGGTGCTCACTTTTGTGTATATTACATGTATATATTTTATTTATTTATTTATTTTTTGTGCTACTAGGGATTGAACTCAGGGCCTTATTCTACTGAGCCATCTCCCCAGCCCATTTTGTTGTTTTATACTAGCCATTTCTCATTTTTTATGAAATAAGGTAGGAGTATAATGAGCACACACTATTATGACTACTAAAAATTTATGGTTCATGATTTAGCAAGAGGAAAACGTAAAACATGTTTCTACCTTGAATTTTCTCATTGACTGATAAAGTCTTCCAAGGTTACCATAGTGTTTTGCAGTCTGTACATTAAATTCCCCAAAAGCTTTCTTAGCTAGCTGGAGTGAAGACAGGTGCAAATCATGAGCTTCTTGGAGCAGCCTCTGTTCAGTTTCCTTGTTATGACAGTCAATTGCAATCTCTTCTAAAATAAGTGCTGAATAAAGAAAGCAACAAATTAGTGTACCTAGAGGCCACTTACCAAGCCAATCAGAACATCTATTTGAATTTATCAAATATACATGATTATAGTTTAGAAATGATCAAGATCAAAGTATCTGACCTTATTTGTTTTTTTGAGACTGCATCTTAGGACAACTTACAATGGCCTTGAACTCACTTTGTGACCCAGGCTGTCCTCAAGCTTGCAGTGATCCTCCTGCCTCAGCCTCTCAAAGTGCTGAGAAGGCAGGCGTGTGCCACCACACCTACCAAAATATTCTATTTTAATAAACACTACACTTAGGGAAGTCACACTATTTTGTACAGTATAATGAATTTAAATTTAAGAGAAACCATTATATATATCAAATTATTTTACAGAACACTAGCTTTTATTCTAACAGACTGTTATACTTTGCTTAAGAGAATGTTTTTAAAGTGAATATCAGGAAGAGGCAAACGTTTTACAGTTATAAACTGTGTCAAGGAGTTCCTAAGCATTTTAATTTTTTTTTTTTTTTTTTTGCTGAACCGGGGATTGAACTCAGACCTTTGCATTTACCAGGCAAGTGCTTATTCTACTGAGCCATCTCCCCGGCCCTACTTTAAAAAATTTTGAAACCATCCTTTATAGAATGCAACCTTACATACTAAATGAACCAAACATAACTAAAGGAACTGGTTTCTCCTTATTCACTTCATCTATCAAATCAGGTTAGAAGATATTTTAATTTCAAAGCAACATTCAGGACTTTCAAACTTCATCTGAATTGTTAAGAATATACATATTCGGGGGCTGGGATGTGGCTCAGCGCTAAGAGTACTCGCTTTGCACACATAAGGAATGGCCTTGACCTCCAGCAACCCCGTGCCATTTTTTTTTTTTTTTTTTTAACCAGGCAATTCCCTTTCCTGGAAAACTGTCAATGTACACAAAGGAAGATAAAAGAGATTTACAACACAATGGCAGTTTTTTTTTTTTTTTTTTTAACCAGGCAATTCCCTTTCCTGGAAAACTGTCAATGTACACAAAGGAAGATAAAAGAGATTTACAACACAATGGCAGTTTTTATTTTCTTATTTTAAAAAAATTATTTATTTATTTGGTACAGGGTCTCGCTATGCAACTTGGATTTGTAGTGGTCCTCCTGTCTCAGCCTCCCCTGTACTGGGATTGCAGGCATGCGCCACCAACTGAACCCGGGTCCTCGTGCTTGCCAGGCAGGCGCTTAGACTGATGGGCTAGCTCCCCAGCCCCTTGTATTAATTAACGATTAAAAAGCAGGAAGTATTTAAAAACTGTTAGGAAACAATACAAAGGTAGGTTAAATACATAAGGAAAAAAGGGTAATTATCTATATACATCAAAACTGAAAAATGTTCATGTAAAAATTTAACAAAATTTTACTCATTGAATTACCTTATTTTGAAAAAAATCTAAAATAATATTCACCAAAATATTGACTCAAGACTAAAAGGAAGAGTTCCAGTAACTTTATTTTTTCTCCTTATTATATAACTTTTTGGGGAAACTGATCATGTACTACTTGTGTAACCTAACTGTCAACATACAAGGAGCAAAACCTCCATCCAGAATTAAGGTAAGACTTACCAACATACACAGAACTACCACAAGGATGAACCAATCATGTGAGTAAAATACATCAAATCAAAGAGTTCTGGTAACGATTATAGGAAAAGCCACATGTCAAGAGCATTAAAACACACAAGGTAAGCTGAAGCTCAACTTAACCCTGGACTAGAAACGTAAAACTGAAGGCATCTGTAAGGTTCTACCCATGTTACTATGGAACCACTCATGTTAATTCCTTCATGTCTTAAAATAAATTAATGCATGCATGAAAAAATGAAAGGCAAAAGAAAAAAATAAGGCGTATTAACATTATAGGAGAAAAGCAAGCAATCCTTTACTAAGAACCACTGGAAACTCTTGAGTGAGGTGAGAGAATTGGCTACTTTAGTAATAGATACAGGTAAACCCTATCACGTCTGAGAAAAATCAATGCCCCTGTTTTCTGGCCCCCATTATCAATTTCAAATTATCTGAGACTAGCTGGCGAAGGGTACCTTTCACCCTCTTTGAAGAAGCCAAAAGAAGATGATCTTCAGGTAGGATGTGGGTGATGATACCAATAGCTCTCTCAGCGTGAAATCTGCAATACAGATAGATACAGTCTGGCATTTGTTTCTAGTTATGTATCGTTAGTTAGAAAATTACAGTCTATCATATAATACTATTGAAAGTATACAACTCAATGATCTTTAGTGTATTTACAGTTAGGCAACTATTACCACAATCAATTTTATGTTTTCATCACATCAAAAGAAACCAAGACTGCAAATAATGGTGCACACCTGTAATCCTAGCACTCAGGAGGCTGAGGCAGGAGGATTGCTCTGAGTTTGGGACAGCCTGGGCTACAAAGTGAGTTCAAGGCTAGCCTGAACTGCAAGGTGAAGCCATCTCAAAGAAACCAAAAAAACAAAACAAAACAAAACAAAACAACAACTAAAACAAAACAAAAAAAAACCCAAAAACAAAAACCCCAGAAAACAATACCCATTAGCTATCATCCCTCACCCCTTCCCTCTAAGTTTCTAGCCTCAGCAGTATCTATTTACCTTTTGTCTCTATGAACTTAGCTATTCTGGACCTCATATATAACTCAGGACCAAGTTTTCAAGTGTTTTTCAATCATGCTATAGCACGTGTAATTCCAAATTTTAAAATTTAACCTAGGTACAGTGGCACACTTGAGTCCTAGCCTTTTGGAGGCTGGAGCAGGAGGATCCCTTGAGACTAGGAATATAAAGCCAGCTTGGATAACACAGCAAGGCCCCATTTCAATAATCAGTCAATCAATCAATTAATCAATCAGTCAGTAATCAGCCAATGAGTAAGTCATCACAAGTTTGAAGCCAGCCTCAGGGTTTTAGGAAAACTCAAATTAAAACCTAAAAAGGGCTGGGGAGGTGGCTCAGGGTGGAATGATAGTGCAGCTGCAGTACAAGAGCAGCCATGGAACAGACACAAGTGGGCGAGCAAGCGAGCGAGCCTTTGTTCCAGTCCATCTTGATTTCACCAGCAGACCATGGCTTGTTAATCCGTTTTATATCTTTAATCAACAGCATTTTTTTTTTTTTTTGGTGGAACCGGGGATTGAACTCAGGCTCTTGGGCTTGCCAGGGAAGCACTTATTTCACTGAGCCATCTCCCTGGCCCCAACAGCATATTCTTTCAGCATATTCTGAAATTGGGTTAATTCAAGTACTTAAGAGTGTCAATCCTATTCAGCAAATCTGTTCTTCCTCACAGAAGAAATGTTTCCTTATGTACTTGGTACATAAGGAAATTGGTACTTGGTAATTTTTGATGGTAACTCCATTTTAGGGAGCATTACATCTGTGAGATGCCTATATGGTTTGAGTTGATGGTTAATTATATCCAAGAGTTTTGCCTTTTCTTGCACAGGCATTCAACCATTAGTCCCATAGTGTAAGGCCAGCCTGGGCTACAAAATGAATTCAAGGCCAGCCTAAAATGCATATCAAGACCCTGTCTCAAAAAAACACACACAAGAAGGTTTTTTTTCTCAGTTTGCGGGTGCCTGCAGATATGAGTCCCAGCCTCCAGTGGGGTGAGAGTTCTGTAGTTATGTATTCTTCTTTGAACCCCCTGCCCCTGCTTTTTTATTAAGTTGAGTCCAAGCTCAGATGAACAAGTTTCCTTGTCATCTCTGCCAATGGACACTTTCCAAACCTCAGTCTGTCTTTTTTCCTAAGGGCATTGCCTTGATCTTGACTTTGGGTAAGGTTCTAATTCATAGTCTCCTGTAGGATAAAAGTCTCATAGCCCAGTATTATTATTGTATAGTCAAGGTTATAAAAAGCTCTTTCTTACCATCCCAGACTAGTTATACTACAGTTCTTGCCTCTGGATTTCATGTGTGTTATTAGTTGTTAGGGATTTCTCCTTATACTTATAAGCTCACCTACACATATAAGAGACAATGTCATATATTTTTAGGGCTTTTTTTTTTTTTTTTGGCAGAACTGGGGATTGAACGCATGCCTGCCCTTGCGCTTGCCAGGCAAGTACTTATTCTACTGAGTTATGTCCCCGGACCCTATTTTTACATGTTTTGAGCAGGAAGTTTTTACTGGTAATGGGAATTAAACTCAAGGATTTTGCACTTTCCCAAGCCTAATTTTTCCCCCACTTCAGACAGGGTCTTGTGATGCTGTCCAGGTGAGATTCAAACTTGAGATCCTTCTGCTTTAGCTTCCACACAGTAGTAGAATTATAGATATGCACTTCCACTCCCAGCTGTTTGGCAGATTTTAGGCCTGCCATTTCCCCAGAAGTCACTGTGGTACTCAAAGGAAAATTACTGAGTCATGTTCTATATAGAAATGCACAAGTCTCAACATTAACCTACAAGTCTAAATGAATAGCTTATAGATTAAAATGATTATGTTTAGGGATCCTCTTAAAGCTCTAGAAAGACAAATTTGATATATAAAGTACCTTATGTATTACTGTACCAGGGAAACAACCAACCAACCAACCAATGTCAATTAATTGTACAGTGAACAAGAACATGGCACTTACAATGCATTGTCAAACTTCCCAGAGCTGTACTGGTGGACATAAGAAGAGTAAGCCAAGTCTTCATGAGCTGTTGCTACATGGATATTTTTGCCACCAAACACTGACTGTCGAATGTCAAGGGCTGCCTGAAAAAAGCATAAAGATATTTAACATTGTCAACCTTTAGAGACTATCACTTCATTTAAGTAAAACATTTTAATTCAGTCCCCAAACCCGTAAGTTTTTAAGCAAGAAAGTCTTGCTGTACTTAAGTCACAGAAGACCAAAGTCATACAGACGACCTTTGTGAAGACCTGAGGAGGACATAAAACGACAATGGCTTACTAACAACCCTTGCTCTCTTCACAGACACATCAGGGCTTTCTCTAGATCCTCCTCCAAAGTGAACTTTAGGTAAAGGCAAGGCTGCCTTGTCTGCAGCCATAGTACAGGCATCATTTACTCGAGAATGACTCAGATGGGGCTTAAAATTATTGCTATCAGCCCTGGTTGATAAAAAGGCAGCTATGCTACGTTGATACTTCTTAAACCAACCACAGAAATAAGCCATCACCTGGGCAAATGACAGAGAGAAAACTTCTTAAATGTGGGCCCACAACCCATAATTCCTTTCTTGACTGATTCTCTTTAATTTCTAAAGCATTATCTTTTAAGCCTTCTAAGTAACACTTAGTAAAATGATGATGTGCCCTATAGGAGGGGGAAGGGTTCAAAGAGATATTTTTAGATAATGGTTTACATATCACAAACGAATACAGGTCAACAAATCAATTTAGGTTGAAAGAAAAAAAAGGGTAACCATTAACATACCTGATAAATTGCAACAGATTGACAGATATTATCTACATTGAGTAAGTAAAACCCATAATCTAGCAATGTATCAGAATATTTTGGGTGTTTGGGTCCAAAATGATCCCTATAAAAAGATATAAGACTATTAGAATATAAAGTAGAGCAATAATTTAAAATGGTAATTTTAGTAATAATCACCTACCGTGCCAAATACACTGCATGTTTAATTAACTGTTCTGCCTTCTTAAATTCACGTTTTACCACACATGCCTACAAGGTAAAAAACTGTTAAAAAAAACCCCTTCTCAAACAGTTCATTAGTGTGCTGTACTAACTACTGTTTACATATCTCACTATAATAAGAAGAAAAAACCTTCAAACATCGAAAGGTTCCACTTATAATTTTGTTCCTTCCAAGTACCTGAAAATTCTATGAATACTTTTATACAACCTAGGAAAATCGTAACATTTAAAATTTTGACATTCTCTTACAAACCTATTATAACAAAGTTACTTACAAAGCTAGTATACTATCCTGGGTTAGTAAAATAAAATAGTTAGGGAAGGGTTTAGCATAGTATTTTTTTGAGGCACGGTCTCACTATTGTAACCCACGCTGGCCTTAAAATCACAGTGATCCTCCTGCCTCAGCCTTCCAAGTGCTTGGATTACACATATACCCCACCAGGTCTGGATTCCA